TAACAATGTATTGATTAAGCCCTGATTCACACTGAATGCAACTTTGAAATCGCACTACTTTATTTAAAGTAGCGTGATTTCAGAGCTGCAGATCACTGCGATTTGTGCCTCGGATTTCACTGTGGTTTGCAACTTCATTTAACAGAAGTCAATGTCAGTTGAAACAGAAAAGTAGTGCAGGAACTCTTTTTAAAATTGTACTAGTTCAAATCGTACTGATTTACCCTAGGTTCATACCTACCGTATTTTCTGGCGTATAAGACGACTTTTTACCCCTTGAAAATCTTTTCAAAAGTCGGGGGTCGTCTTATACGCCGGTAACGGCATGCTGACACTTTTTAGGGGGGCGGCACGGTCCCCCGCCGCCGCCCCCCTTCCAACAGAAGGGAAACTAAGTACAGGGGTGGGCAGGGGCTGCTGTCTCTTACCTGGCTCCGGTCCCACGAAGATCCGGTCCAGGAAGCGCGGCTGCTCCTTCCTTCGGTTCGTCCACTGGATGTTCGCGCGGCTGCTTGGCTCCGCCTCCTCACCGGTGATTGGCCGCCAGAACTGTAGCTCAGGAAAGGCACACAGGCGGCCAATCACCGGCGAGGAGGTGGAGCTGAGCGGCCCCGCGAAAATCGAGTGGAGATGCAGGTAAGTGTGCCGTGCTTAGGTGCTGCTGCAACCACATATGCTGGCTGCAGCAGCACCGTACTGGAACAGGGGTCAGCAAGTGTCAGTAGGAGGAATAGTGCCCCATCATTGGTGTCACTGATACCAATGATGGGGCATTATTCCTCCCACTAACACCAACGATGGGGCACTTTTCCTCCCCCCCCACTGACACCAACGATTGGGCACTATTCCCCCCCCCCCACTGACACCAATGATGGGGCACTATTCCAACCCCCACTGACACCAATGATGGGGCACTATTCCACCCCCCACTGACACCAATGATGGGATTCTATTCCTCCCCCCCCCACTGACACCAACGATGGGGCACTATTCCCCCCCCCCCCCCCCCCCCCCCCACTGACACCAATGATGGGATACTATTCCTCCCACTGACACCAAAGATGGGGCACTATTCCACTGACACCAATGATGGGGTGCTATTCCCCCCAATGATACTAATGATGGGGCACTATTCCTGCCTATTCCTGCCACTGATACCAATGATGGGGCACTATTCCTCCCACTGACACCAATGATGGGGCACTATTCCTCCCACTGACACCAATGATGTGGCACTATTCCTCCCACTGATACTAATGATGGGGCACTATTCCTCCCACTGACACCAATGATGGGACACTATTCCTCCCACTGACACCAATGATGGGGCACTATTCCTCCCACTGATACCAATGATGGGACACTATTCCTTCCACTGACACCAATGATGGGGCACTATTCCTGCCACTGATACTAATGATGGGGTGCTATTCCTCCCACTGACACCAATGATGGGGCACTATTCCTGCCACTGATACCAATGATGGGGCACTATTCCTCCCACTGACACCAATGATGGGGCACGATTCTTCCCACTGGTGTGCACTGGAAGAGGTGTAGTCTTATATGGCGAGAATAGCCCAAACACTACATTTTAAACAGGAAAAGTAGGGGGTCGTCTTATACGCCCAGTCGTCTTATACGCCGGAAAATACAGTAAGCGTTTTCTGCAGCGTATTGCAGAAACACAGTACAGTCCATTTAACATGATTTCCTATGGGACAGGTTCACATCTCTGCCTTTTTACCCGGAGCGTTTTTTGGCAAGGGTCAAGGACTGTTTTGAACGGAAAACGTTGCATATTTGGTTCTATAGACTTCAATGGGAATGCTGCCGAAAAGCATGTATTGCGTTTTTGCTGCGTTTTGTGTTTAAACTCTGCCTAGCAACAAGAAAAATGAAAATAAAAAAAAAAAAAAAAAAAAAAAAAAAAAATGCAAAACACATCAAAAACACGAACTGCATATTTGTGAACCTAGACTAAGACAGTGCCATAGAAATACATTAGATGCGACTTCAGGTGAGATTTGTAAATTGCATGTTGCACTGGAAGTCGCGCCGGTGTGAACCAGAGCTTACTGTATTTTTTACATATTTTTTTCAGTAAAAATGTATTTAAATAGAGAAAAGCTGGCATGATCTGCTCTGTTTATTTCTTCAGCTATCAAATGGCTTTTGGTAATCATTAATTGCTAGATTGCACTTTAAACCTGGTCATATACAGCATTTTTTTGTTTTACGAATGTTTGTTCAATTCTCAATCGTCATTGGAGTCAAATAAACATTAGTTTTTGACCTCAGTAACGAAAAAATTTGATGGAGCAGGACGGATAATTTTTCTTGAGCAAAATGTTAAAAAATAAAAACTGGCTTTACGCTAGTAGATTTTTTAACAAACATTTGTACAAATATTCGTACATTTAATGACTGGATGAATGTCTTTCAAAAGTACTTTTTACCCACTTGTCTACCGGGCACTTTCACCCCCTTCCTGCCCAGGCCAATTTTCAGCTTTCAGTGCTGTTGCACTTTGAATGACAATTGCGCAGTCATGCAACAATGTACCCATATGACATTTTTTATCATTCTTTTGAGACAGAGCTTTATTTTGGTGGTTTTTATTTTTTGCTAAACAAACCAAAAACACCTGAAAATTAAAAAAAAAAAAAAAAAAGTTTTTTTCTTAGTTTTCTGTTATAAAATTTTGTAAATGAGTAATTTTTCTCCTTCACTGATGTGCGCTAATGAGGCTGCAGTGATGGGCACTGATGAGGAGGCATTTGTAGGTGGCACTGATGGGCATTGATAGACATCACTGATGGGCACTGAAAGGCAGTACTCATATGTCACTGATAGGCGGCACTGACTGGCACTGTAAGGCATCACTGATGGGCACTGTTAGGCAGCACTGATAGGTGGCACTGATTGGCAGGACGCATAGGTGGCACTGAAAGACAATTCAGATGGGCACTGATTTGTGGCATTGATGTGCACTGGTAGGCACTGATATGTGGCATTGATGTGCACTGATGGGCACCGACAGATGGTACTGATGGGGCTACACTGATCATCAGGGCACTGATCATCAGTGCCCTGATGATCAGTGTACATGTCCCTTTTGAGTAATGTCGATTACTGGCTATCCTCTCCTCACGAGCTGTCAGCGTGACAGCTTGTGAGGAGAGAAATGCAGATAATCGGCATTTTCTTATTTACATGCGATCAACTGTGATTGGACACAGCTGATCACATGACAGAGCCAGCGTCATCGGCTCTTTCCGCTGATCGGTGATCCGCTATGTCCCTGGGACACATGCATGGTTAGAGTGGGATGACGTCCTCCCAGAACGAGAGAACCACCACCCATCCGTCATTTGCTTATATGGCGGGATAGAGGCGGTTAACTAAAATTTCGCTTGATTGATTTGAACATTTTATTTGAAAAGAATGGACTTTCCCAAACCAAAACCACAGACAGCATTAAAAAATTTGCTAGAGAAAAAAACTTTCCATTCTGATCCTTTGAATTTTTTCGTCTCTGTGGTCGAAAGCGAATGCTGATTTGACCTTACTTATGATTGGAAAATCCAATGAATGTTCTTGAAATTAAACATTTCATACTAATTTCTATTAGTGTATAACCAACTTAACTTAAAAAAACTTATTTTTGCCTTCCTCTGGATCAACTGTGGGTGTAGGATTATAACTTTTTTTTTTTTTTTTTTTTTTTTTTAATGGTTGAACTGGATGGACTTTTTCAGCCAGACTAACTATGTAACTATGTAACAGATGTGGGTTTCGTTTGTTTAAAAACTTCATGCATGCCATGCCAAAATAAAATACCAAGGTCGATTCACACTATAGAAACGCAGTCCAGATGCGTTCCTAGATGTGCATTTTTTATGCTTTTTTTGTGCGTTCCAGTGCTTCTTTGATGCTTTCCAGTTTATTTTTTCCCCTCCTTTTCTTTAATTTAAATAGGGATGTGTGTTCCAGTGCGGTTTTGGTGCATTCAAATGCGTATTTGATGTTTTTTATTACGTTCCAGTACAGTTCTCTGCAGAAAAAATGCAGCATGTTGTACTTTTTTTTCTGCAACCAGAACACACTGGAACTGCAAGCACTGGTGTAAACAATGACATTGACAACCATATAACCTACTTTCTGTGCATTTCGGATGCAGAAAAAGAAGCAACTGAAAATTGTTGTGTGAACTGGCCCTAAAAGCTGACAAAATATTTTCGAACATTCATGCAGTCATCGAAAGTAGTGAGAAAAATCTACTAGTGTGTATTGGCCTAACCCTGGTCTCTTGGAGTGGCATGGCTGGGTTATTTGTACAGTGCATGTGGGAATGTCATCAGGGTGATCAGAGGTGATGACAAGGAATCAGGATGATGATAAGTAATTGGGGTGATGACAGATAATTGGGGTAATGACAGGCAATCTGGGTGATAACAGGTGATCAGGGTGAAGACAGGCGATCGGGGTGGTGACAGGCAATTGGTGTAATGACAGGTGATCTAGGTGATAACAGGTTATCAGGGTTATGACAGGTAATGGGGTGATGACAGGCGATCAGGGTGATAACAGGTGATTGGGGTGATGACAGGCAATCTGTGTGATGACAGGTGATCGGGGTGATAACAGGTGATCAGGGTTATGACAGGTAATGGGGTGATGACAGGCGATCTGGGTGATAACAGGTGATTGGGGTGATGACAGGCAATCTGTGTTATGACAGGTAGCCGGGGTGATGACAGGGATCGGGGTGATGACAGGCAATCTGTGTGATGACAGGTGATCGGGGTGATAACAGGTGATCAGGGTTATGACAGGTAATGGGGTGATGACAGGCGATCAGGGTGATAACAGGTGATTGGGGTGATGACAGGCAATCTGTGTTATGACAGGTAATGGGGTGATGACAGGCGATCGGGGTGATGACAGGCAATCTGTGTGATGACAGGTGATCGGGGTGATGATAGGTAAGAGCTCACCTTGACCTGGACCGTGGGTGCCACACTCTCCACAGCAGCCCTGAGCCCCAGCGCAGCAGCTGCCCCGACTTCAGCGATGAGATTGTGCCCACAGGCATGGCCCAGCTCGGGCAGGGCGTCATACTCACACAGGAATGCCACATGCAGGCAGGCAGAAGGCGCGGAGCTCCAGTGTGCCCGGAAGGCCGTGTCCAGCTGGTAATGTTCCTGCACCTGCCATGCTCTGCTGGAGAAGAAGCGGGTGAGGAGCCGGTGAGCGCTGTGCTCCTTATAGGCCAGCTCGGGCTCCCTCCATATGTCCTGGCTCAGTCCGTACAGATGCTCGGACTCCTGCTCTATGGTGTCGCTCGCCTGCTGCTTGCACTTCTCCAGCATGTGCATGGTGTCCGCACTACACAGCTCCCTGACAGGTCCCATGTCACACACACGTCCTCCGTCAGGTCCAACTTCCACTATGACACTGGCTGCAGGCTGCCGACAGTTATGTGTGAGCTATCAGCCTGACATCATCATAACTGGAACTCGGCTCAAGAACGTCGCCTGCGGGAATCTGCCCCGGGGAACAATGGGAGGTGTAGTCTACAGGATGGATACAGGCGGGAGAAGTCCACTCTGAGCCAGGAGCCTGGAGACTACACTTCCCACGCTGCCCCGCGGCTTGTTTTCCAAAGCCCGTGGAAGGGGGACATGTGAGGGGCTCAGAATAGAGATGGGATCCTCTGCTATTTATACTCAGGACACTGAGCTGTGGATGTCGAGGGAAACTGGTACAAAGATTTGTAAAGTGATTGCATTGCAGGTGCTCCATATTACCTATTCTCTCAAAAAAATATATATATATATTTCCAATTCCAGTCAATTCTGACATTCCTGTCCTACGTGTAAAAAATAGTAATTTTTTTATGTTTTGCAAGAAAGAACCCCCAAACATATATCTATCTATCTATATATATGAGCAGAGGCCCCAGAGAATAAAATGGTGGCTGTTGCATATTTGTATGAAACAATATGGTTTCTCCAAAATGTTTTGGCAAATATAATGCACAAAAACAAAATATAATATCCAATTGTATGGTAGCATATAGAAGACTGTGTTACTCTGAGTAAACGGATACCAAACATGTCACACTATAAAAATTGCGTACACCCATGGAACACTGCCAAACTACACTACCTAAAAATCTCCATAGGCAATGCTTTAAAAGTCCTATTCACACCTTGGCAATTTGTAGCTAGAAGCTCCAAAACACTTGAGGAAAAAAAAATCAATCATCATTTTCAATGGAGTTGGTTCACAGCTCAACTCCAAGTTACCTGAAGCTCAAAAAAGTTCTGGAGCTTTTTTGTCGCTCAAATCGGGCAGATTTGCTCATTTTTGAGTGTTTTTAATTCAATAAAAATGAATGGAATCATGCATTTTCACACGTTTTGTCATGCGTTTTTTGGAGCGTTTTTCTGCTCAAATGAAAAAACAAAAATAAGTAAGTACATAAATGTTAAATAAATAAAAAAAAAAATACACAAATAAAAATAACCACAAAATAGATAATAAATAAATAAAATAAATATGTAATGATAAATAAATATATAGTAATTAACCCCCAACTTTAACCCCCTAATCCTAAAAAACAGAAATAATTACAATTATTAATAATACTAAACACCCTAAAATAAATCCAAATAAACAATATTAAATAAATTAACACCTTATTTTAGTCAAAGCATCCATTTAAATCCTGCACAATCTTGGGGCACCCTTTAAAATCTTGCACAATCTTGGGGCATCCTTTAAAATCCTGCACAATCTTAAGGCACCCATTACAAAATGTAAAAAACTAAACTAATAGTTTTACAGAACGCAGAAACGTGGGAAACCCAATGTCAGAGTTGATTTATACAGTATTTCCAAAGCAAATACATTTTTGCATACTGGTACTGACTAGTATTCCATTGTTTTTCTTCTCCCGCAGTTTCTCTCTTTCACTCAGCTAATGTGACCCTAGTGCTTATGGAGTGGGGCAAAACCTGAAGGCACCCCAAGGTGCATGGGCACCGTGGTTGAAAAAGGTTGCCCTAATCCTAACAAAAAATAAACAATAAGAAGACAATAACTAAAATATTAACCTCTCACCCCAACACCTAACCACCAACTCTAACTCCCTACCCTGCCCCCTAACCCTAAAAATAATAAATGATTATTAATAAAAAAAATGAAATAACAGTTGATGGAAAAGCTAAAAAAGCTGAAAAACAGGGAAAAATATAATTTGTTTTAATTTTTGTTGCTATTTGCTATATTAAAAAAAACACCAAATCTCAAAAACGCTTTAAAAACGCTGGCCAAAAACGCATATAAAAACATGCAACAAAATGCCTGAAAAAACACTTAAAAAAGTGATGCTCCGGTGTGAATGCAGCCTAACAGGTCAGCAATTTAGAATTGCACAGGAGGTCTGGCGCTAAAAAATAATTGCTGTCACTTTAATATTCGTGGCAATAGCTCACATGTGTGGTGTGATCGTGTTTACATTTGCGTCTGAGACCGACGCATGCATTCGCCTTTTCACGTGACCATGAGGACAATTTTTAAAATGTAATTTATTTTTAACACGGTACTTTTTCTACCAACTTTATTGCTATCACAGGGGATGAACAACATCCCTTTTGATAGCATGGGCCATGACATGTCCTTTTTATGGAGAGATCTGGAGTCTATTAGACCCCATATCTCTCCTCTGGCCTCAAAAGCATCAGATCAAACCAAGATCGGTTTGATCTGATGCTTTTACAAGCCAGTAATGGCTTGTTTGCATGAGACCAAAATCCTTGACGTTTAGTTTCTGATGTCACGCAGTGGGAGGAACATCAGTTTCTCTTACTGTGTGCCCAGAACCAGATGCCACCAGTCACATCCTTACTGGGCTCTTCATTCAAACAGGAGAGCCCAGTAAAGGCAGCAGCGACCGGAGGAGGAGGGGGGGGACCCCCTTTTGCCACCTGTAAAAGTAATCCAGTGGCTTTATAGCAGCTCAGATTACTTTTACTAAAAAAATAAATGGCCAGCAGAACAAAATGATACCAGGATCATAGCAGTAGCTGCAGTCATAATCCCATTTCAACCTGAGCTCAAGGATGGGACGTGGGTAATGCTCAACTCCAGGCACAAGAAAAATAAATGTCCCTTGCACTGGTCCCAAACACACGGCAAAGGTTAATGTGACAATGGCTGATATTCTTAGTCTCCAAAAATAATACATACACATCCACTACCTAAAGTTATCCACTTGCCTTACAGAGGATTTACTCCCCTTAATGACCAGGCCTCTTTTTGCTACTCGGCGCTGCACTAATTCAACTGATAATTGCGCGGTCATGCAATGCTGCACCCAAATGAAATTTACGTCCTTTTTGTCACACAAATAGAGCTTTCTTTCGGTGGTATTTGATCACCTGTGCGCTTTTTATTTTTCATGCTATAAACCAAAAAAGACTGAAAATTTTGAACAAAATGATATTTTTTACTTTCGGCTATAAAAAATATATAGTAAACTTAAAGTTAGTTATAAATTTAGACCAAAATGTATTCTGCTACATGGTTTTAGCAAAAAAAAATCCCAATAAGTGTATATTGATTAATTTGTGTGAAAGTTATAGCATCTACAAACTATGGTATAGATCAGCAATGGGCAAACTACGGCCCGGCGGACCTTTTAATCCGGCCCGCGGAGTGATACTGTCAGGATGGCTGTCAGGATGTGTGTAGGCGGGGCAGCGTGACGAACGTGAGGGGAGCTAGGCTCCTCTTACAGTCCACCCTGAAAACCGGAACGGCGCGGGAACACGGCGAGAGGAACGCGCGGAGCAAAGGTAAGTGAATTGAATTACTATAGGGGGGATGAATAACTATAGGGGGGATGAATTACTATAGGGGGGATGAATTACTATATGGGGGAAGAATTACTATAGGGGATTAATTACTATATGGGGGATGAATTACTATAGGGGGGATGAATTACTATAGGGGGGATGAATTACTATATGGGGGATGAATTACTATGCTTACTATGGGGGAATATTACTATACTTACTATGGATGACACATACACATCATTCATCTACTCTTGGTCCGGCCCCCGGGTTCAATATATGAACCCATTGCGGCCCTCAAGTCAAAAAGTTTGCCCACCCCTGGTATAGATACTGCAATTTACGCCATTTTTTTGCTATATAGCGCTGCGCTAGTTTAACTGACAATTGCACGGTCATGCAACAAGGTACATAAATGAAATTTATGTCCTTTTTTTTCCCCCACACAAATAGAGCTTTATTTTGGTGGTATTTGATCACCTGTGCGCTTATTTTGGGCACTATAAACAAAAAAATTTTGAGAAAATTTTTTTTTTTTTTTTAAAAAAAAAAACAATATTTTCTCATTTCTGTCATAAAAAATATCCAAAAAAACAAAAATTTCGTCATAAATTTAAGCCATGTATTCTGCTACATGTTTTTGGTTAAAAAAAATCACAATAAGTGTATATTTATTGCTTTGTGTGAAAGTTATAGCATCTACAAACAATGTTATAGATAATGGAATTTACACAGCTTTTACTTTCTGACTGCTCATCACATTTCTTGAGGTGCTAAAATACCAGGATAGTACAAATATCCCAAAATTACGCCTTTTCGGAAAGTAGACACCCTAAGCTATCTGCTGAGAGGCATATTGAGACCATGGAAGATTTATTTTTTTTCCACAAGTTTTTGGAAAATGACAAAAATTTTTTTTTTTTTTATACACAAAGTTGTCATTTAAATGATATATTTCTCGCACATGCCATGGGTATATGTGGAACTACACCCCAAAATACATTCTGCTACTTCTACCGAGTATGGGGATACCACATGTGTGAGATTTATTGGGAGCCTAGCCATATACAGGAGCCTGAAAACTTGTGGCAACAAATGAGATCTGCAAAATACTCACCATGTTTCTTATCAAATTCCTTGGGGTGTCTACTTTCCAAAAAGTGGTCATTTGGGGGGGTTTAGCCTGTGTGCGAATTCTTGGTGGTTGCGGGACAATACTTGTGCTCGCCACCGCACCAGCTTGTACTGCACTTATGGGACTCACCATGTCGCCAAGTCATGCTGCAGTGCTGGTATTATTATTATTATACAGGAATTATATGGCGCCGACAGTTTGCTCAGCGCTTTACAATATAACGGGAGACAATACAGAACAATACAGTTTAATACAAGAGGGTTAGGAGGGCCCTGATTCTGGGAGCTTACAATCTAAGAGGTATGTGAAAGACCAGGATGTACTAGACCGCTGGTGCTCGCCAGTTCACCAAAAGGTAGCGTGGCACTAGTACTGGAACTCTGCTGCATAAGAGAGTCATCAAAATTTACGACAA